CCGCAGCATCGGCTGGGGGAACATCTTCCAGCTGCCCTTCAAGCACTTACGCGACTACCGTCTCCGTCTTCTCTGTCCGTTCTTCATCTACTCTGGCTTTGAAGTGCTCTTCGCCGTTCAGGGAATCATACTGGTGAGAAAAAATTGTGTTACGAATTACAAAACTGTGTAGCTGAAATACACAGGTAAAATTTGAATACCAAAAGTCAGTGTCAGATTTCAGCACTGAGTATTTTTTACCTTAACAAGACTAAAAAGTTTTCGGTTGCCGTTTTACAATATTAAGCACCTACGAAGACACTGCAAGTAAACCAATTTGCCTGCTATTTAGGTTAATTAAGCTATTAAAGGAACAGCATGCAATCACTCATTACCTAAACAGATTTTCTCTTTTTTTATGCCTGTCTTTCTCAGTCATATGGAGTGTGTGCAGTAGGGATGGAGAAGCTGTGGTTGTTAGTTATGGTGTATGGTTTGTCATCCTCCATCTGTTCGGGCCTGTCCCTGATGCTGCTGCGCTTGCCCAGGCCGATTATTCTTCTGGTGGGTGCCTTCATGCACTTTGTGCTAATTATAGCCCTTATGTGCTGGTCGCCCCAACCACGAGAGCCTAGCTATCTTCCGTATCTGTTGGTGCTCATTGCCCTCTGGGGTCTGGGCACTGCGCTCAACAAGACTGGACTGAGCAGTGAGTACAAGTGGCATTTCCACATTAAGCTTACACCCATTTCAAGACTGCAGTAACATCAACGATATGACATAACGTCGTTGTGTGTAGCTCTTCTTGGGATGCTGTATGAAGACAAGGAGCGACTAGACTTTGTTTATACCATCTATCACTGGTGGCAGGCCATTGCAATCTTCATCGTCTATCTTTGGTCTGCACTGCCTATGCGGGTAAAGCCTTTATTTTTTGTAGGTTTTGACTGCAATCACTGCATACTTTGCATTTACTGTAACAGGACACCAGGCAAAACATAATTTGCTTTATAATTTACTAAATGTTCAGTTATGTCAATTATGGTTCCAACATGTCGCCTGAAGCAAAATAAAGTGCATAAATCCATCATAAAAAGTACTCCACATGGATAATAAATGCTTTCTGAAGTGAATCGATGCATTTGTGTAAAAATAATATCCATATTTAAAACTTTCTGTGTGTTCACGAGAGATTGGTGGCATTCCAGCTGATGACGTAGGCGTAGTGAAAGCTCCATTATAAAGCTTGGAAGAGCCAGGACATTTTTTTAAATATAAAAAGTAGGAAAAAGTCATAAACATTTAGGATGGCTTGAGGATGAATAAATCATGGGGTAGTTTTCATTTGTGGGTGAACTATCCCTTTAAATCTCAGAAACCATAAGCATTAATATTTAATAGCAAATTTCAATGTATTTTTTGAGTCCTATTATAAATTGATCATATAGTAAAAACTATGTTTTGAATATGAACCTTTAATTAGACATTGTCACACTTGAATGATTAAGTAAATACAGCAATGTAAGGGTCCTCGGTTAATTTCAGATTGGATATACTGTATGTAGCAGTTTAGTAAGGGAGTCAGTTGTGAGCTCAGTAACAACTTGAATCAATGAATGATTTAATCAAGCGATTTTGAATCTGTTTTGTGTATCTTTTTTGACTAATTTATTCCTGTTTAAATATTTTTAGAAATTTTACCAGGAACCCACATGAGGATGAACGATTTCCCCCTGCAGATTTCACATCGGGTTCAGTTGGTCATGCAAATTTGCGACATTGGCCAAAAGACAGTTGTTTGGTTCGAAATTGACCTCTATGTGAGTTGTGCTTTTTATATATCACTACACTATAACTGACAATTGACAATGGACTATTTTTGTCCACAAAATTTCGCTAATGTGACCGCACTTTAACTTGTTTAAAAAACTGATGAATAAGGGTTTTTAGTTTGTGAATTGGACATCACATTGTTATTGAGTACAGAAAACACTGAGATCTAATCAAACACATTAAACTGTTGTCAAATGCTTTTTGTTGCTCTTTGGTGGTGAGTTTAGTCGGAGTCTAGAGTTCTGTCTAAAGGTGCAGCCACATTAGCAATATTTCAGCAAACTTTTGATGCATGAAGCACAGTTCACACAGAGGTTACTTCAAACCAAGCAGCTTTCATTTGCGTGACTAACATGAACATTGCGAATTCTGCACTGGGGGCTTTTTCACACTCGTGCGAAACTCCCGACAGCACAGATTCCTGTTGAAGTGACTGGATTTTGTTCATGAAAATCTATTAAATATGTGGAAATGTATTCATTGTATTCACATTGTTGAACATTGTCTCTGGTCTCTTTTTAAGGCCAAGCTTGGACTCCTATTGTTAGCTCTCATAGTGGCGAGTTTCTGCTACGTGCAGATGGAGCGTCGCCTGGCGAAGAAAATTCCATTCAGGTTGCCGCGGATTCCCCGTCCACGACACAAGGTAATTCAGCTATTAATGTGTCACTGCAGTGAGTTCCTGGAGGCTTTAAAGTGATTTTATAAAAGAAATAAAATCCTCTCCAGTGCCTTCTGTTAGCGTTAGAAGTAGAATGAATTTATTCTGTAAAATACATTTAAAAAATGAAGTTTCCAGGTTCAAAACAACTTTATTGACAGAATCTGTCGATTACCACAGACAATAATTTTGACTCATCCTCAATTTGGATTATTATACTTCCATATAACTCTCATTGCTAATGTCTTACATTACTATCCTGTTCCTCAAAGGTTAAAGGTTACCGATACCTCGAGGAAGAAAATTCAGATGAATCCGACACAGACTTGAGTGATGCTGATGCTGATGGGAAAGATGAGGATGAGAGAAGGTTGGTTGAGGAGGACAGAAATACAGACAATGATTCCCAGGGTTCACCGGGACCGGAGAGGGGCGGGGTTAGGGACCGCAGGAAGAAACACGACAACACTGCCTATGAACAGGCAGGAGAGAGGGAGGACTATGTCCAACACACGAGGGACTAGAAAAGGAGAGGTGAAAAGGTACAATTGGGGATTGGAAAGAGATGAGAGGAAGTTGTAAAATACTGAATAGCCAGATTGAAAGAGAAGCGATGGTATGGGAAACGTTTACTCACTTTTATATTAAATAATGCTTTTTTTCTTTAGAAAGAAAAAGTGTAGGCCACCGATGGGGAAAAATGAAGGTCGGAAAGTAGTAGAAGTGAACCAAACATTTCATTGAAATGGGAAGTGAAAAGAGGAAACTGCAGGTACTTTGTAAGGTTAGGTGGTTTGTTGCCATAGAAATGGATATTCTCCATTTCGAACTTGGTCAAGGTGATGTACTCGAGTTGTGTATTTCATTCTAATTATTTCCTGTGCGCTGTGATTCTTTATGCAATTCATATCTGTTTTCCTCATTGTAACTGAAGAACCAAAGTTCTCTCCATTTAAAAAAAAAAAAAAAGTGTTACATTTCATTTTCTTATATGTTATAAAACCAGTTGTAAATTTGTAATAAACATAAAATAGAGATATATGATTTAAAATGGTGCTCTTGCCTATTTTGGAATGTTTTAAACCATAGTATGATGTGCTTTAATATGAACACCATAATACTGCAAGATTTTTTTTTTATTTAGAGTTTGCAGTGTTTCTCTTTCATCTGCATTTGATAAGGGATTATATGCAGTTATATTCTTCTTAGGGGCCATTCACACTGAATAAATTTTTGGTATTTTACCATTAATTTTTCCATGATTTTTTATGTAAACATGCCCTAGATGGACTTTAAGTGCATGACACAGCATTCTAAAAATGCAGTACTCAAGTTAAAATAAGTTCAACAACGCATTTTTGCATTTGAAAATGTGAGAGGCAGGGCAGTGGAATGGAAATATTTAACTTGAGCTGTGTTTTATTTTATTTAGTTTATCACTGTTCAGGCGAATTTTCTCGTAGGTGAATATCAAGTTATTTCAATAGGAATCCTTGCGATTGGAAATTTCTTGTGAGGGCGAAAGATTTCCCTAAGCAGATTTTGTAACTGGTTTAAGTTGGTCACATTGACAAACAAAAAGTTGCTTTAGTCGGGCAAGATGCTGCAAAAGATGTAAGACTCGAGCGTAATGCAACAGCCAAAAAATGTAGCACATCGTGTTTACATAAACAGTGGGATGTAATAATGCATTCTCTGTGAACTGCCGCATTTGAGCTTGGATTTCAGACAAAAATAAATAATTGAGCATGCATTGACGATACAGTATGATTTGCTCTGAATGGTGGTCAATCAGGATTTTGATTTTTTATGTAAACATGCCCTAGATGGACTTTAAGTGCATGACACAGCATTCTAAAAATGCAGTACTCAAGTTAAAATAAGTTCAACAACGCATTTTTGCATTTGAAAATGTGAGAGGCAGGGCAGTGGAATGGAAATATTTAACTTGAGCTGTGTTTTATTTTATTTAGTTTATCACTGTTCAGGCGAATTTTCTCGTAGGTGAATATCAAGTTATTTCAATAGGAATCCTTGCGATTGGAAATTTCTTGTGAGGGCGAAAGATTTCCCTAAGCAGATTTTGTAACTGGTTTAAGTTGGTCACATTGACAAACAAAAAGTTGCTTTAGTCAGGCAATATGCTGCAAAAGATGTAAGACTCGAGTGTAATGCAACAGCCAAAAAATGTAGCACATCGTGTTTACATAAACAGTGGGATGTAATAATGCATTCTCTGTGAACTGCCGCATTTGAGCTTGGATTTCAGACAAAAATAAATAATTGAGTATGCATTGACGATACTGTATGATTTGCTCTGAATGGTGGTCAATCAGGATTCCCCCCCCCCCCAAAATAAAGGGGGGGAATTTAAAAATAATATATTTTTTAATATTTTCCCTAGTCCCCAGCATTAAGACCTTATTGTGTATTAGTGCCTTGCTGCTGTCATAAAACATTTACTAGATATAATACAATCTTTACATTACAATCTTTTTGCGAACAGGCAAAAAGACAAAGATTCTAGTTTGAGGTGAGTATGTTTTTATTAGTCAACCGTTGTCCTCCTCTCCTCCGAATGGTCTAACACACACTCCCATCTGTCCCCATATGGCACTCAAACGTCACAGAGACGTGACATGGTTGCATATACAGATACACATCTTGCCATGATTGACACATTTTTACTCTCCGGTGTCTCCCACTGTGCTTCTGTTGTATAGAATATTAGTTTCATATGAATATTGTTTTTATATGCTACTACTTTACCTTGGATCACATGTGGGGATGAATGTGAGCTGGTGATTTTTGTTGAACGGGCATTGATGTGTATCTGTGTATGCTTGGGTTTTTGTTTACTTTAATTTTTTTGGTGTAGCACTAGAGCACCGCAAGTGGAAACTACGTGCAGCCAGTGAAGGTCTTACAATTTGCCACACTGCACCTCATAAAGTGACTGCTGCTAGAATGACTGGTGTGACTACCCTGCTTCCAAACTCTGCATGTTTTCCGTTTCCTTCCATGCGCCCTCAGGCGTTACTGCTGGATTCTGCGGATGGACTGGATCTGAGGGGTCTGGCAGTGGGAGCCCCAGTCCCTGCAGTGCTGGTAGTCTCCGCTGTGCCTGTCACACTCCATAACATACTGCTGTCCTCGATAGCCAGGGTACTCGTAACACACAAAGCTGCAGGGAAACAGACCATGACAGGAAATTAGGAGGAGATGTGAGGACTGAATACAATGCCAAGCTGTGTGGAAGGGAATTAAAAAAAAAGTGTTTTAATAGAAAGTGAGAATCTTAAATTAACAAATTTGGCTGGATTGATCTAATGTACATTAGAAATGTAGGTAACACCTTAGTTTAGGGACCAATTCTCACTATTAACTAGTTGCTTATTAGCATGCATATTGACTATTTATAAGTACTTATAAAGCACATATTTTGCATGACCATATTCTACATCCCTTAATCCTACTCAATACCTAAACTTAACAACTACCTTACTAATATTAATAAGCAGCAAATTAGGAGTTTATTGAGGGAAAAGTCTTAGTTAATAGTGAGAATTGGCCCTTAAAATGTGAGAATGGAATACTTAAAGGTCCCATGACATGCTGCTTTTTGGATGCTTTTATATAGGCCTAAGTGGTCCCTAGTACTGTATCCGAAGTCTCTTTCCCGAAATTCAGCCTTGGTGCAGAATTTCAGCCACTACGAGCCAGTCCCACAATGAGCTTTCCTTAGGATGTGCCATTTCTGTGTCTGTAGCTTTAAATGCTAATGAGGAGGATAGAGGCGGGGCAACTGCCATGCTTCGCTGGTTTGCAAGCCATGATGTCTCTCAAGGAAAAAAAAATATTGCACTCGCCTCGCACGGTAGCAGCTCATTTTCTCATGGGCGGGCCAAATTCTCTGGGCGGGCAAAGCAGAGAAAGGGGAGGTAACCTTTCCCCGTATGACGACATAAAGGGAAGATTCCAGATTGGGCCATCTGAGCTTTCATTTTCTCAAAGGCGAAGCAGGATACCCAGGGCTCGGTTTACACCTATCGCCATTTCTAGCCACTGGGGGACCGTAGGCAGGCTAGGGGAACTCATATTAATGTTAAAAAACCTCATAAAGTGAAATTTTCATGCCATGGGACCTTTAAAATAATCATAATTAGAGTTTTGCTTGCCTATGCCCCATTGGATTATGGGATGTTTTTCTCCTGTGTTATCACCTAACACATGAAAACTGCAAGTCCTTCTTCCATGTATGGTAAATTATCACTGTGTTAAATTATCAGTATTTGTGATGACATGCCCTGAAATGTTGATATTAACGTCATTACATAACAGATGTGGCAGGTACACAGGTACAGTATTGCTGTTATGTGAGTGTGTCTGATGCACCAAGTGAGGGATGTGCAGTCAAAGAAAGATGTTTCATCTGATGGTATGTTACACTTGACTGTATTGTGAAAGCAAAATCATTAACACTTCACAAATACAAGGACTGGATACTATGAGCCAATGACGCTGGTCTCATCTGTGTTGTGTGTATGTGTTTTGTCAGCACAGGTGTTGAGCATGAGAAATGTGTAGTTCTGGAGTACAGTAGTTTGGCACTACTGGTGTTTTGTCAAGCGTTACTCACGCGCCACACTGCACATGCATGGAGCCCACTTGCTTGTCGCACCAACCCATGGCCTGCAAAGATGGGTAATCGTCACACAGCTCTACGTTGCGCCCCAGGAAGTTCTCCTTCTCATAGATGGCCATGCGACTGCTCTGGTGGTCCTACAAATTGAGAGAGTTTGGAGGATGGAGATGGAGAAAAAACAACTTTTGAAGAGAAAAAAATGCATGGATTTAGAGACGCTGTTTGCTTGAATTAATTCAAGCAAAACACCAAAAAAAAAACATCATGATTACCATCAATCTTGCCTGTTGCTACACTAAAAAAGTAAAGGTTTCCAAAGGGGGTTTTCACAGAGAGCCATAGATTTTTGGTTCCCCAAAGAACCTTTCAGTGAACGGCTCTTAAAAGAACCGTTTTTTCAGTGTGAATAACATTATAATAATCTGAAGCACCTTTTCCAACTTTAAATAACCTTTTGTGCAGTGGAAAGTTTGCATGGATGTTAAAGGATCTTCATGGAACCATTAATGCCAATAAAGCCTTTATTTTTAAGTGTAGTTGCTTAGCCAAGATATGGCTAAGCTCTGTCCTTTATTGTAAGAGATTTTCTCATCTTGTTTTATTGTCAGGTCAAATCAGTCCAACTGCTTGGAAAAGTTTGAGAATAAAAAACTTTCAAAGCATCGGCATGTGCTCACACACTCACAGCACTGCAGATGGGGCGCAGTGACATCATCCTCTCCACATGGTAGCCCAGACTGCCGCTGTAGGCATCCCAATGAGGATATTCTCCTTTTTCCAGGACAAACTGCTGTCCCTGGAAGTCATGGTGCTCGTATCCTACCCAGCTGCAGAGAACTAAGAATTAAACATTTATACTTGCAATAGGTTTTGATGTATTTATGATGTTTTGTTTTCATAAAAAAAAAAATACACATTTAGGTATTATAATAAGCACTGTGCTCTTAAATATTTTTCTGGATTTGTTTTTCTTCCTGGGTAACCTTCAGGAAGCAAGACAAAACCAATTCTCAAGTAATCTTGAAGCATCTCAATCATATTTATAATTCATTAGAAAGCACACTTCCCAACACGCATTTTAAAACATCTCATGAAACACCCAAAAGCTTTCAAAAACAGCTAAAACTGTAATTTCCTTACTAACTGTCAAGATTTTGCAATCATTAACACAGAGTGGGCGACTCACGCGCCGCTCTCCACACGGATAGAGCGGATGTTGTCAAACCCACGCTCCTGGATGTTGCTGCACTCTGAGGTGAGCTCCTGACATTTGCCTTGGAAATGCTCCTGCTCGAACACGGTCACCTGACAAACACACATATGCCACAGCTCCATTTTCTCATTTGGAGAAATGTATCTCTCCTACACACACACAACCACTGGCCTCCTGTCCTTTCATTATGTCCTCTATCTGTTTTAAAGGTATAGTTCACCCAAAAATGAAAATTCTGTTATCATTTAGGCCCAATCCCAATTCTACCCCTTAGCCCTTCCCCTTTATTTCACCCCTATATATTATTTTCACCCCTACCCCTTGACACTCTGTTTCAAGGGACAAGGGGAAGAGGTAGGCGGAGGGGTATAAAATAGAATTGGGATTGGGCCTTACTCACCCTCAAGTTGTTCCAAACCATGAATGAATGTTTTTCCCCCCTCCTGAACACAAAGGAAGATGTGTTGAAGAATGTGCATAACCAAACAGTTGCTGGTCCCCGCTGACTTCCATAGAATTAAAAAAAATAAATAAAAATACTATGGAAGTCAATGGGGAGCAGAAACTGTTTGGTTACCCACATTCTTCAAAACATCTTTCTTTTCCAGAGAAGAGAGAAATTAATATAGGCTTGGAACAACTTGATGATGTTCATTTTGCAGTGAACTATTAAAACTGTAATTTCCTTACTAACTGTCAAGATTTTGCAATCATTAACACAGAGTGGGCGACTCACGCGCCGCTCTCCACACGGATAGAGCGGATGTTGTCAAACCCACGCTCCTGGATGTTGCTGCACTCTGAGGTGAGCTCCTGACATTTGCCTTGGAAATGCTCCTGCTCGAACACGGTCACCTGACAAACACACATATGCCACAGCTCCATTTTCTCATTTGGAGAAATGTATCTCTCCTACACACACACAACCACTGGCCTCCTGTCCTTTCATTATGTCCTCTATCTGTTTTAAAGGTATAGTTCACCCAAAAATGAAAATTCTGTTATCATTTAGGCCCAATCCCAATTCTACCCCTTAGCCCTTCCCCTTTATTTCACCCCTATATATTATTTTCACCCCTACCCCTTGACACTCTGTTTCAAGGGACAAGGGGAAGAGGTAGGCGGAGGGGTATAAAATAGAATTGGGATTGGGCCTTACTCACCCTCAAGTTGTTCCAAACCATGAATGAATGTTTTTCCCCCCTCCTGAACACAAAGGAAGATGTGTTGAAGAATGTGCATAACCAAACAGTTGCTGGTCCCCGCTGACTTCCATAGAATTAAAAAAAATAAATAAAAATACTATGGAAGTCAATGGGGAGCAGAAACTGTTTGGTTACCCACATTCTTCAAAACATCTTTCTTTTCCAGAGAAGAGAGAAATTAATATAGGCTTGGAACAACTTGATGATGTTCATTTTGCAGTGAACTATCCCTTTAAATAATACAGAATTCGTCTCATATTTCTGCACATCTTGGTCCACAGAGCATTCATCTTTAAAGTCTCAAAATCAATACCTAAGCAGAGGAAGCCTTTGTTAAAATATTGATAGTTTGGCACCTTGTTTCTCACTCTCAGACAAAGAATCAATAGCTTGTTTCTCACTGTTTCATTGTTCTTCTCACTAGAGAGAAAGAGTGGTGAGGTTTTTACCTTAAAGCAAGGAGCCATGTCTATCCCAGACGCTGATGGGGTTGTTTGGATCTTAGTAACTCTGTTCATCTTCTTTCCTGCACAAGAGCGAAGACCGAAAACTTCTTTAAAAGTATTTTACAAATTTTGGGAGATGTACAGTTACGTTTTATACAAACATTGTTTGACGTACATTTGGGCATTTTGGGAAATCCTAAGGAGTGCTAATGAAATTGCTGTCAAAAGGCTATTAGATCAAAAATAAAAGTGTATATATATATATATATATATATATATATATATATATATATATATATATATATATATATATATATATATATATATATTATAATAATATTTATAATACATGATAATTTTACATGGATAATTACAGCTCTGCCGAATACTTGATTCTGATAACAAACCAGTGCTACTTTCATGTCCCTTGTATCAGCTCTCTTTTTCATACAAATGCTAAAAAAGTTAGAATAGCTGATTATCAACATATTGCATCTCAAAACAACAGTAGTAAAAATGTTCTTTGTGGCCTTCAGTATCGCTTTTAAGATGGTAATTTTTCAAAAACCACTTGAGAAGCACTTTTGTGCCACCTTTGCAGTATACATTTGGCAATACATTGCTAGAGGCTCACTAGAAAGAAAAATACCATATTTAGAAGAAGAACCAGTGAGAGACACAAATTTGAGTTATATGAGCGAAAAGATGTTACATGCAGCATTTTAGCCAACTCGTCCATAGAAAGTGGATTTGCAGATTAAAATTACTTTAACATACTGCATATAAAAATATGTAAACAAAAAAATATATATCGTTTTCTGCGTTCGTTGCTTGGCTGATTGTCAGCGGAAGCATACAGGCTACACTGCAAAGAAGTTCCTGTTATTCCAGGCAATATCCCAAACACAAAAGTCAAGGTGACAAAGTGCAATTTAATTTTGGCACCTAAAAGCTCATATAAATTAATTGGAGTTCTTGTTTATTTATTTTGACTTTATAGGTAGGCTACATTTCAATAAATCCATATATTACTCTAACTTTATCTTACCTGAATTTCCACCTGTCCTACTTTACAGTGTTGCTCGTCAGTCCCGTTTGGAGAGGAGTTTTATGATTATTTGACGCTTCTATTTTATAGCAACCATCAAAGCTGGGTGCGCGTCGCGACGCTGAAATTAATGGAAGGATCTGTGAGGGTGTGTGTGTGTGTGTTTGGGTGTGTTTGTGAGATCATTCTCTTTATTGTGAGTCCAGAGTAGTGGAGCATTTTGCGCCGTCAGCGCATTGGTTTTGATGCACGCCCGCGGTTCGTGTGAAAGCAGACACATTGATTCACACAATGGAGCGCAAGCGCCTGTATTCCTATCAGTCAGCACTGTGCATCGTATGCTACACAATGAGCGGCCTATATGTGGAGAATACAGGGATTTGACCCACTGCACACAGTGAACGTCCTCTCTTTCAAAGCTCAGAAACATGTTTGTAGTTTGTCTGCTGTCTTAAGGTTTGGAAGACAGCCACGGCAGTTTAGTCATTTTTCGTAAGCTCAACCATGGCGAATCCACAAATTAAACATTGGATTGAGTCTTAAGATTTTATTTTATTTTTTCAATTTGAGGTTTAAAATAATTTGATGTAGGTCATATAAGTTCAATGATTCCTCCCCCCCCCCCCCTCTTTCTTTCTTATTATTTTACACTACCAACAAAATCTA